TTTTTTCCTTACAAAAACGTGGTACTCTTTGATTTCACACATCCAAACCTTATCAAATTTAATGAAAAAAAAAATAAAAAAATCAGTGGTACTGTCACACTAGTAATACTAAGGACTCAACTGTTTGCTCCGTTACAGAGCCAACAATCAATGGGACAGCATCATGTGAGGTTGACTCACATTGGAGCCATGTGGGGCAGTCCCACATGAAGCTGTCTCACTGGCTGTTGGCTCCGTAACGGAGCCAACAATTGGCTCCTTAGCATTGTTGGTGATCACACCATTACTCCTATGTCTATCTAAAATTTTAAATGCATGTCCAAAAAGAAAGAGGCAATTATTTTATAATAATGACAGTGTAACCAACAACTAGTTTTGCATTCACATTCATTATTTAAAATTAAGGAAAATGTTAGGTTCTCTTTACGAAATTATTCTGTCTGAAATATCCACGACGGTTATATCCACGACGGTTATATGATGATCTAACGGTTACAAATCTCGACGGAATAGTTCCATTACTGTAGCATCTTCCTTAAAATAAACTACAATTAAGAGTGTGTAATTAAACTATAGAATAATGCATATTCTTTTATTTATTATTTTTAAGTCTCAACAAGTCAAGTCAACTAAACAAGCTTTTCAACTGGGTTGGAGCAATAATTCTGAAATGAACTCACAATCAACTTGTTTCATTTAACAATATCATGGAAATAAAAAATTTTAAGTATTGAAAAAAACTATCATTGCCACCGGATTAACCTTTTTTTACCCGAGAACGGAAGCAAAACGAGAACGGCAAAAAGATAAAAATATTAAAAAAAAAATAAAAATTAACGCAATGTAGGCTTGTACCAAAATTGGTGGAGCAAAATTCAGTTGTACCTGGTGAACCTCCACGTTTGGGAATTTCTCCCTGAACCGCTCGGCGACCTCCTTCCCCAGCGGCGCACCGCCGCAGCCCAGCGTCTGCAGTGACCTCAAATCGTACTTATCTACCAGATCGGACTTCGCCATGGCCACCACAAGCGGTGGCGAGACCGGTATGTACGTCACCTTAAACCTCTCCACCGCCTCCAACATCCTCACAAAATCGAATCTCTCCATTATCACAACGCTTTCTCCAAGCGCCGCCGCCCTAATCAGCATGAAGAACCCGAACACGTGGAACAGGGGTAGCGTGAAGATCGACACCGGATGGATGTGGCCGCCGCCGGCGTCCGCTTTTCTTGATTTTTCGTCGTCGGTCACCTTGTTGTGGTACAGCCCGGCGATCACCGCGATCAGGTTCCGGTGGGTGAGGACGACGCCTTTGACCTTCCCGGTGGTGCCGGAGGAGTACAGGATGGCCGCGGCGTCCGATTGGCTCACGGCGGCGTCGTTTGGAGCGGTGGAGGGATCCGATTCGAGCATCGAGGCGAATTGCGGCGAATCGAGGAGGATTAGGGGGACATTTTTGGGGATTTTGGAGGCAGTTTGGGAGGTGGCGAAGGCGACGGCGGGTTTGCAGAGGCGGACCTGGTGGCTGAGCTCCGGCGGGGAGGATAAGGGGTTAGAAGGCGAAACGACAACGCCTAGGGAGAGGAGAGAGAAATAGAGGACGGGGATGTGGAGGGACGGCGGGGAGAGGACGAATGCGACGTCGTTCCTGGAGAGGAACGGCTTGAGGGAGGATGAGAGGGAGGCGACCTGGCGGAGGAAGGTGGAGTACGAGAGGCGGCAGTCGGAGGCGGCGTTGATGAGGAAAGGAGTGGTGGAAAGGTCGCCGGCGGCGGTGGCGGGGGAATGGAGGAGGGAGAAGGCGTAGTGAGTGACGGAGAGCGGGTGGGAGGGCGGGGGCAGGGGAACGGCGGGACGGAGGCTGTGGTAAGTCTTCGTCAGCGAGCAGAAGCCATTTCGGGGGTTGATGTGTAGGCTTTTTGAGGAAGGAGTTTTCGCCATTGCAGCGAGTTGGGAGCTCCGGTGATGATGATGACTATTGATGTTATTATCAGGGGAATAGACATATATAGACAAAAAGTGGGCCTCACCCTATTTATTATTATTTATCAACCGTGTCGCAAAAATTGCTTTATTTAAATGTTAATACATAAATTTAATTTACAGTCTTTTTCCGATTGAGCGGTTATAAACTTTTTTTTCACGTCTTTTAACCAGCGTTGTTTTTTTAGTAAGAACATTAAATATGAGCATGTTAAGGTAGTGGGATTTCCAAAATATTAACATGAGCATGTTTTTTTACATGTAAATATGAACATTAAATATTTAATTAAATATGAGCATGTTTTTTTTTAGTAGGAAATCCCACTAAAGTTTTTTTAGTAAGAACATTAAATATGAGCATGTTTTTTTACAAAATATATATATATATATATTACTATATATTTTTAGAATGATATGTGATACTTATGACTTACATGTGTTGTGTTATATTAAATTTTATAACTTATATCATATAACTACTTGAAATATAAATATATTAGTTGATAAATAATTTTATTTTTATAATTAATATTAAAAATAATTTTATTATTGTTATAAAGATAAATATAAATTATTTTTTTATACATACAATATGGATGTTAAATCGAAACTCATCAAAAGAAGATTAATTTAATATATTACATATGTAAAACTGATAAAAAATACAAAAATTATTAACTTTTAAAATATATATACAATTCGATAGTTATAATAAGAAATGATAACTAAATGCAATTAATACATGTAACATGACCATAAATAATTAACATATTTATGGTAATCCGAACCTAATTATTTTTTGTTTGTAATTAAATTAAAATTTACCCAAGCCTAATAACGAAGCATGTAATTTTGTCACACATGATTGCGAAGCACCAAAAGTAGCGCCGTAGGCTCAGCGCGTTCTGGATTAATATATAGGGGATATCTTTTTATGATTTGATAACATAACTATAATATATTCTTAATGATATAATGGTTTACTTTAGTATAGCTAGAATGTTGGTTGCAAATAGGAAAAAAAAAAAAATATTAGATTAGATGCAACCAGCATTTTGCTATAAGATAAAGATTTCCTTGGAGACGGGATGCATGTCATATGTCATCTAAACTTTTGCTTTTTTTTTTGTGTTTGTTACTTTTAATTATCACAAAATTGACCGTGTGAATTGATTTACAACATACTCTACATTCAACTAAGACTGATTTTTATTTGCAAATGATTTATAAAGTTTGATTATTAATTTGACCAAATATTTTGCTTACTGATTTATAAAGTTTGATAATTATTTTGACCAAACATGAAAGATGAACTTGTTGGATCAATGTGTTAATCTAAACAAACATAAAAGTTTTTCATATTATTTCTTTTAGCCTTTTTCAGTTTGTAACGTTTTATCAATGTAGAAAACATTTTTCATGATATTCTATTTATTCTACGATTTGTTGATTCATTACAGTTTTGAACAATCTATGAAAATTATTAAGTCGCTTTCTGGCAAATATGTATGGACTTATGTGTTCGTGTCTCATAAGTCACAAACATAATGAATAATATTACAAATTATTCATTCAAACTTTTATCCATTGCAAATATATTAAAATAGTTTGTATAACATCCATTAAATACCACTTTCAATATATTTATAAATAAAAAATACATAAAATTTATGGTGTGTTCAAATTTAAATAATTTTTTATGGGCTCAATTTTAAATCATCCAAACATTTGGTCAAACGCATAAGTGTGTTCAAATTTAAATCATTGGCATTCTGTCGGTTTAAATTTAAATCATCTACCATGGTACTGTGATGTGTATAATATATATATATATATACATATATATATACAATTTTTTAACAAATAATATGTGCTTTATAAAAATAATAATAATAATTTCACAAGATTTTAAACGTAAAATCTGGTTTTAATCACAATAGAAAAATCATGGTAAGTTGTATTGAAAATATGTTATGGGATAAAATAATTAAATAAAATACTTTATGAAATAGAATACATTAATTAGTTTTGACTTTTCTTACTACTAATTTTAGTAAATAGGATGCATTTTTATATAAGTATAGATAACATGTGATTATTGCATATCACTTTAATTTATGTATTAGATTTTTTTTTTTTAAATGAAATATATGCCGTGATTATTGATTGCATCACATGGGATTATTTTTTCATGCATTAGTCTATCAATGTAATAAAGTATATATAAAGATTAGTTTAAATTATGACATATTCTTACTATGAGTGTGTGGATTTATTCTAGCCACTAGATAGATATCTAGATGTGTCATAAATTAATTTTTTTATTTAAATAATAATTTTTTATTTTAATCATTTAAATATTATTTTGACCGTTGACCGCTGATCACTGACTTACGGCATTGATCGTTGACTCCAACGTTGATTTGTTTCCGGTTGACCTTAATAAATTAAATATGCATCGTTATTTTGGAAGTACACTATTTTTGTGATGTATGGTGATAACAGAGTTATTTATCGGATGATAGGATGTGGAATGAGGTGTAGGTGAGTGGCATTTATGATGCTTGATTGGAAATAAGAAGAAGAAAAAAAAAAAAAGAGCTTGCAAGTCGAATTGTCGGGATTCTATTCCTCTTATTGGTCAATTTATTTTGGCGGGTATCGAATAATGGAAAACCACTCTAGGATACTTGGATGACCTCCAATGTTTATGCCTAAAGAATGTTGTCTTTGCGGT